ATTCGTGTTGGGTAACATGGCCTTACCTCTGACCTGTGAGGACATGCAATCTGACAACAACGTGAAATCCCTGAGATGGGGTAGGCGTGGCTGCTTACTTCGACTGAAGCGTTGGCTATGCTTTTGGTGAGATATTTTCATTTTGACACATTTGTGTTCATGCCTCCGTCCGAAATGGAACAAGATGACAATTGTCTCGAAGAGTTGACAGGTTTTACGTTATGGCTTGACGAGGCTTGGCTCCGATTCACAGGACTCACAGGTTACGTCGTGGGAGATTTTCCGATGATTATAGGCATAGTTTTATGCAGCCCCTTTATTTTGGTCTCAAAAAGTTTCTGCTCATATCAGTGTGGTAGAAGAGGGAACTTTGAGTAAGCGGTTCTAGGGTCGCTGCTGACGGTACAGAGCGCAATTTTTGTTCGTACTGCGAAAAAAAAAACTAGGAGGCAAGTGAGTGGTACTAATGGAGGGTCTTACCTTGCCAAGACGGCTCTCAATAAGCCTTTGCATAGTTTTAGAACTATATTCTTTTCCTGAAAACCGCGAGGTTGGTAGAGCACTACCGACTTACGTACGTTCCGGGGAAAACTGTCTTCAACTGAGCCTTACCGCTTACATTATCGACCGCAACACTCCGGATTTTCAGTTCTCCCTGAGACTGCGTTCATACTTTGCGTCAGCATACGGCAGTGTTTCGGGCGTACGCCAGCGCCAGCGACTAGGAAAGTAAGGGTATCAATCTAGTGCACACCAGCATATGTCAGCGTACAGCAGTATTTTCGCGAGCAGTTTTGATGAAACTCAAATTGTCCGCGAGAACGCAGCTACTCGCTAGATTGATATCACTTTCCTAGTGGCTGGCGCTGGCGTACGCTCGAAACGCTGCCGTACGCCGGCTTACGCTGACGCAAAGTATGGACATAGCCGCTAGGTTTCATATGGGTACCAGTGTCAAATATTATTTCTTTGTATTCGGTGCGGGTTATACTATTTTGGCTGACATCGTGACGGCGCGACATCTGCACCATGTAAGGATTTGCTGTTCAAATAGATAAGAAGATAATTAATTACAGAATTTGTCATCCTTTAAACTAATATAAAATTGCGCAACTGTTTAGTGCTTTTGTGTTTTTGAGTTCTCTGAAAGATAGTAGATAAATTCCTGGACGAACGAAATGCGAAAGCTGACGTGGCCGTTTGGATGGTGCGCTGATTCATCAAGATCTCGAATGTCGATAGTTGGTCATCATTCGGGAGCGATTCCTCAAAGCTGATGGTTCACCGGTCGTTTTTTCATTGTTATATGGTGGTAGTCTGGGAACCGCTGCACGTTGTCGTTGTCGAATCCACACTAGGAGAGGGTAATCAGGTTTTGCCCGCAGGGAGGAGGACGTACTTGGCTGCTACTGATAGTTGGTCGGAACCTGTTGTTCCTCTCTCATCATTTACCACTTTTTTGTTGAAGGGTGGTATTATTGATGAAGCTAGGAGAAACGTTCCATGTTCCCCTTGGAAAGTAAAGTAGTGCTATTCCAGAGGAGGGCACTATTGACCCTCTAGTACCCCGACCGTTCAAAATGAAACCAGCGAACTACCCTGGAGACCATTTTCCGAACAAATCGACGCTCTGGTCTGAACTTTGAAAACTTTGTCAGTGAAGAGTAGATAGGCCCGGAAAAGAAAGTAGTCATCAGGTTGCCTTAACATCCCCTTTTCTGAAGTACTTTCTATTTTTGGCAACTAAGGATTGTCGCGTTTTGATTCTTCCGAATTCGCTTATGACTTCTTCTCACGAGCTTTGCTTTTTTTCCACTGAAGGTTTCAGTGGAAGTTTCCACTGCAAAGTAAACACTATGTTTTTGTCAAACGTACTTACTTACCACTTTGAGCTTTGCATGCGTGAATACACGGTTTATTTCTATGATACGCATAGGCCGCGTTTTGGGTGGTGATACGTCATTGTTTTGTCGCCGTCCTTACAGCACGTATAGCGCTGATATGTAGGGCGACGTGAAGTTGGGCGTATGCAAATTTATACATTGTCATGATAGGATGTGATATGCATTTCTATTTAACTTTTATGATGCTCGGGACGTTCAGAAAGCTCTTTCACCCACTTTGCATGTCAGCCGGCCAACAGCGTATGTCGAATGTGGCTGTATTAATCTCACTGTAAAGTCCTAGTCGTGAACGCAAGAGCTGTGTGCGGCGTAGGAAACAAATGATCGTCCTAATCACCGGTATCACATGTGCTCCCGTTGATCGTCGAGTCCCTCAGGCGGACGCTTGAATGTCTCCTTGTCCCTCAAAGTACTAGAGCTACAGGGCGCAGTTTGTTGACCGGGGGGCATTCTGCTTTCCATAGATGTGCCGACCCATCTAGGTAGCCTTTTCTCGAGTTGACACGTTTTAGGATGGTGGCTAGACGATCTTGCACCAGCTTCACAAGGGTTCACAAGTTTTACCAGGGTGAGATTTGTGGTAGTACAAAATGCCCCCCCCCACCCGTCGACAAACAGCGCCGTGTTACAGTGTGGCTCCGCGTTCTAGAAATTCGCTCGAAGCTTTCAATAAGAAACCTGAGCAATGAGTAGGCGGCCGTTCAGTTGTTTATTTGACCGCGGAATTCAGTCGGTAATCGCTCTTCTCCGACAATTATCATCCAGTCGCATAACGTGCTTGGCTCACCTCATCGAAGCTCCCGTACTGAACCTTGGTGAATAAGGCTCAGGGCACATCATCAGTTGGGAATTGGGTCGAGTCAGTACGACTTCCTACCTTTTTCTCAGATTTTCCCAATCTCCCACCCTCTTTCCAGTTTTTCTGGAATTTCCCAATGATTTTCCTACTTTTCCCCACAAAATTTTGTTGTTGTGAAAAGATATGCTTGAGAAAACGTTTTCCGATGCCGCAAATCTCTCTCAGAAGGCAAATAGAACCACTCCTTCTCTCAGCGTCCGTGGAACAAGAAAAACCAACTGTCAAAAAAATTTCTCGGACCAAATACGACCCCCCCCCCTCCCCTATTTGGGAATCACTAATGATGATATGTATGTAACGAGGCTGCAATATGTGATATCGAGGCTGCATCCCTGATATTCCATCATCGACGGAGTGCGATGCTCTGAGTTTTGCTGCTGCTTTTATGCAGCAGAATTGAGGAGCTGCTTTGAGGGCCCTTCGCTCAAAGTGGAAGGCTCTAAGATAATCCAAAAAGGCTTCAAAATGTTGCGCTCAGCAATTATCTCACTGATATTATTTTGTTAACTGTAACGTGTGTATGGCTGCAGTTGGCGCTCCGAAAATAATCACAGAATACCGGTTATGGGCAAAAGTCTTGATCCAGGCAGGACTCAAACCAGCACCTCGCGCTTGCCAGTGTATGAGGATAACATGGAATCAATCCCTCTGTTTTTCTTGTGTTTTCATGGTCTGCATGACATTTGTGTGTGACCCGTGTACTTAACACTATCCAAATTTTCTCGCGATATGAGTGGTGCGTCCCCTGTCCCGTAGTCACCTCCTGATACATTTAGATACCATGGCCGCCGCAGTTCTGTGTTTCTCTGCGCTCTGTCCTTGCCAGGACCCTAACAAAATGTTTAAGTTGTCAAATAAGCACTTGCCGGGCCCGTTACGCCACCAGGTCTTCTGCAACCGTTTTCGTAGCACTGAAGCAAGCCGAAGGCTACAATCTTCTATAGCATGATCTGGTGCATTCTTTTTTTCGATAACTAGCGAGTTTTAACCATTTTTTTCATCCATATCAGGTAAGCCGTCAAGTTTTGCATACATTACATATAGTGGCCAATCTTATCAAGCAAAACTTAGCCCCAAAATCAAAGTGGTCGGGTAACACAAAGGCAGCCACGTCGCATACCACCGTCGAATGGAATATTGAGCTTGCCTTTGAATTAGTTGCCGACATCGCATAATCTGTAATTCAGCTGAGAGGGTCGGAGCGGAGTAGCTTGGATTAAGGGCCCGTCCCGCGTTCACATAACGTTCAAATGCCTTTTTGAACGTACTAGTCCTGCCTGCACACATGGAATATATTTTCGCAGCTCAAAATTACATGGGAAAGCGCGACCCGCTCGCGTGAAGAGGCCCGTTTCCGCCCACTGGCCGCTGCAACGCCCGATTCCAATTTCTTGCTCCTACATGATGGCACGGTTGTTACTGTACTAATTCTCTCCATTTCAAATGGTGAAAGGGTGTAGATGTAGATAAAGAGAAAGCGTTTGTACCAGCAGGTATGAACTCGTCCGATCACCCCCTTTCTTCGCGTTATGCATGTTAAGCGCGGTTTAGCATGGGGTTTTAGGTGGGGCATTTAGGCGGGGGTTTTCCTCTGCTTTTTTTTTCTTCACTTTTGTCCTATTTGCCATCTTGTCATTAATAGTTGAGCCGCACAAGCCACCATTTTGAAAGAGTGGCGTGTCTTCGAATATTATAACGTTGGGAGTTTGGCAAGTCACCCATCAGTTCCAGCCTCCGTGGGTGCTTGCTAGGCGTCGACCATGTTATTGTCAAGGCTGCAGTTAGTATGGATGAAGGGCTCGCTAGAGGTCTGCTCCCTGTTGCTTCTATAGAAATAGTGCTGAAGCGCCTTTGACAGTCTTGCTTTTTGGAAGTTTTGAGTAAGTGTACTCGACATCCGGCTCCAGTCCACGGTGTTCATACCACTGCGCGCTGATGATCCGACCTATTGGAAGACTTGCACAACTCACGGCAATATGGGTGTGATGTTGCTGCAGCTACATCCGTCATCACACTCACTCAAATATCTTTTAGTAGACAGTGAAGCGTCTTGATAACCTCGGCTCAATGGCGCCTTTCCGCTCTCCTGGTATTGTGTTCATGTTATGTCTAACTTTTTTTTTCGTTGTGACCGTGTTTCTGTTTCCACGTTCTCACAGTTGTCATCCCTCATTGCGTTCCTTCAACGCCGTCGCTTACCTTCTTTTTTCTCATGACCTTGATATCAGATTTTCAGGATGAGATGGATTTTGTTTATTTTATTGCCTCTGGTCACGGGTGACAAAGAACGAGAGGTCGACGGTGCTGCTGCTCGGCTTCACAAGCACCACGGTAAAGAGGATGATCATCATTTGGATCATCAGGCTATTCTAGGTAGGTTCGCTTCATTTGAAGTTTGACTAACTTAACACTCAACAGAAACACAATATCCAGCTATAGTCTTAACGGAAAATTCGACTGATAAGGGGGTCTTTCAGAACATGGGGGATTTTGTTTCTAACATAGCTTTTCGCATGGTGTAGGAGTTCACATGAAACAGAATCGTAATGTTTAGTTCCTCTGAGCGCTCTCAGGAATGCCAGAAAAGGAGTGATCGTATCTATCCTCAGTATTGAAAAAACAGCATGAAATGCAATCATAATTCTAGTACGTAATGAAAATGGCTTGAGACCTTCCATAAGGCTGCTTTCGTACCTTGGGTCGTTGAGCGTCTTCGTGGGCTTTGAGCTGTTGGCGGGCAGTTTCCGAAAACGCTGGAGTATGCTCAAAAGATCGATTCCCATACTTCCTCAGTCCTGGATCGATACCTTCACTTTTCCAGTCGCTTGAAACGCTCAAAACGCTGGCGCACGCCCCAAGCAGTAAACGTTGCCGTACGCAAGAACTCTGACGCAAAGTATCAACGCAGCCAATTGTCTCCCGCAGCCAATTTTCGGCATTTTTGATTTTCGGTTAGCGAAAATTAAACCCAAGTTTTTGATTCACGCTAAGAAATCTGAATTATGCGAAAAACCCTTTCGATAAACTGCGCCTTCACCTAAGAGATCCCTTTCTGAGTAGTACATCTGTACTTCTGAGTCTTAATGAGAAACGTCGCCAGTGTAATACGTTGGAACGTTTGGTGCAACAGTTTGTGAGACTACGATCTTCATAATTCTGCTCAGTGGGTGTTTTGAACCGTGAGCCTAATTTGTAAGCTCTTTCTTCGATTTTTTTTCTATTGGAAAGGGTTTCATTCGTGGAAGGTGTAAAGATATTTGTGCTTGTGCACTTTTGTATTTTTTGTTTGTTTCTGTGTGCCCAGAGGTGAGACTTTCAGGGCAAGCATAGTGGACAAGGGTGCTCTGTACGGGTGAACCAGTTCACTCATCCTGGAGTTCCTTTCGCTCAAGTTTAATCAAAAAGCTTTTGAATGCTTGCAGTTTCGAGTGCTTGCAACAAAACGCGTCCCGTATGTTACACTGGTGCCATGAGAAACACTGTAATATTAGGTTCAAAAACGTAAAGTCATATAGAGGAATGTCAGGAAAGCAAAAGGGCTAGGGTAGCGGCTAACTATGTCATTTGAAAGCTGATACCTTTGGCTACGTATCTGTAAGATTTGGCAAATCTGGCCACAGAAGAAGTTTACGAGAAATCGAAACGAAACTCGGCTGGTAGCAACAACTGATAGCAACAATGTTTTCCGCCTAGCAGCGTTCAATCTTCGCGAAAGCGTCGATCGCGCATGCTTTCGTCGGTCGGCGCCGTCGAAAGCATGGCGATCGATTGCGTCAAACGCGCACCGAATCGCTGCTCTCGCGAAGTCTGAACGCTGCCTAAGACGTGACTCCCGACTGTGAAAACGCACCGTGGCTCTGAACCAAATAAATATATTGGTTTTGAACTTCGAACCGGAAGTCACAATAGTCAGTTACGATGAATGCAGATAGGAAGCCGGCCGAATACTGCTGTGAGGAGTTACATGACTACAAGGCGCATGATCATCATAGCAGTGGATTTCTGCACTGAGGTTTTTAAGCGGCTCTATCCAAAAAACAAAGCCATTACTACCGCTGTATAGTGCCTGTCCTCGACAATAAAATCGACAAATGGATGATCAGGCAAAACTACAAGAAGGCCACCGTTGCTAGCCATACTACCAGGCCTCTAGTATTGGGCAGTGCTAGGACAGAAACCATTGAGACCTTTAAGCGACCGTTCAAGCCCCTTATTCGCCTTACCTGCAGGCGTGTGATTTTGACTGTTCTACACAAATGTAGGCTCAATCTAGAACGCTACGACACTTCATCGATCGTGGAGAATGGCATCGACAGATCTTATTCGCACTAGTTGAAAGAAAAACGACTGTGCTAAGTGTTTAATAGTCCCTCTGAACGCTTCCCCACTGACACTTGGCAATCCTTCGAAAAAAAAAGGCTTCATAAAGCCCTAATCTGTTTGTAGCTGCATCTTCGTGTGTCATCTCCACGCTCGTTAACGGCGTATGGGTATCGCTCCGTATACTACATGAACTGCGTCTTCCTTTCTCGACATGGGTGGCGATAGTAATGCTCATCCGCGCATCTGGCATCCTCACTTCGGCCGTTATGTTCAGCGAGTTGTTTTCACCTCAGCCCCTGCTCTTCCACTGCCTTAAAGGCAGTTGGCACGATGGTTTCCTACTTAGCCTAAAATGCTAGTAGGGCGCTGTATAGTGGGGAAATGGCGAAAGAACGGAGTGAAACGGTCAAAATCCTGCGAAGAAAAAGCCTCCGTTCTCAGTGACTTGTAAATCGATTTCGGACGAGTTTCCCGTAGGCATCTTACCAATCACCGCTACCGAAGATACGGCTGCATATGTGTACCCATGTATGCATGCAGCATCACGGCCGCTTCATACCAATCCCTTCGCTTCATAATTTGCTTAGCAAATGAATGAATACGAGCGTCAGGAACGGTCGTCCATTTGTGGGCGGGCGGGCGTGGCGGGCGTTTGGGACGTAAAGTTGTGGCTTGATAGGGCCCTTATAAGGGCACCTTCCTCGGGGAAACCGCTATGCAGCGCCTGCCCAGGGTCGCGGAATTCTATCCTGCCAGGAGTATTGATCCTAGTCGTCTTGGGGGATTTATCGTGCAACTGCCTTTAAATGCCTCAGGTGGTACCCCATCTAGACCAGCCGCCTTCCTAACCGTATCCTCTCATTTGCAAATGATCCGTGGCGTGGGGAAACATCAAGTGCTTGACAGTGGGCGAGTAGACTGGTATGAATCCTCATTCGACACGGTCTCGTGGTAAATCTAAAATTAACGTCACCAGGCGCTCGGACCTGTCTTCATCTTCGAAGGAGATGTCACCCTTCTTGAACTTGACATGTCGCAAAAGCATTCTCTAAACATTAGTAAGTGCTTAATGCAGTTTGAAAGCCTCTTCCCTCCTCTGTCGAATAACTACTCAATGCCAGTATTATCGCTACATTCTTTCCAACCCAATTTTTCGACAAGAAGAATTGCAAGTCGAATTTTCCAGTTTGCTATTTCTGGAATTACTTCCTTCCCACCATTCTCTCGCCTATAAGAAGTCCAAAGAGTCTGCTGTCATGATCAAGTAGGTGAAATGAGACAGACTCAATCAGGTTAGAGTCGTTTTGAAGAGGTTGAGAAAAGGTAGAAAAGAGGATTATTACGAGATGTGCGGTTTGACTGTTGTCGAACAGGTACTAATGAAAGCGACTTTTTCCGCTCACCAGGAAAGGTCAACAGGTCAGCCTGGCCATTTCCAATGAGGTGCACATCGTTGTACGCGTCTTGAGACGATGAACTCAAATCTTTCTTCAGAATTTGCGGAACGATTCTCTGAGCGGAGTTATCAAGAGATTATTCATCCGTATTTTTTTTACATGCTATCGCGAGCAAACGTGGAAGCGTCTTTACACAATGTATGGAGTCGCTCTGAAACGTGGTAGTAGAGCGCAACGGATAGCGAGTGGGTTTCCTAGGCGAGACGTCGTGGGATCAAGTCCCGGCAGGTAGCACATTTTTGCATTTGTCCAAGAATATGGCCGACGAGGCTTCTAACATCTCTGCTCGCCTGCACTACCCTGTAAGGGAACCTGCGATCAGTTTTTTTTGAAAGTGTAGACCCATTGTGGCCTGAAAGAGTGCTTCTGCTTGTCCCCCTCGTAACACATGTCACAAGGGTTTTTGCAATGAAATACCATCATATTCATGTTCAGCGGGTCAATTACCTCTGGGAGACAGGGTTTCTAGCCAAAGATATTTTGACCTAACCTGGAAAATGTGGGCCATTCTATGGGCAATTAGCAGCAGACTGGGGTTCACCCACCATCGATGACTGGTCTCGGGATGGAATTTCCTACCGGTAATCAGGAAAATGATGCAGACGGCACGAATAAGTGAGCCAGGTACTGTTCTTTGCGAAAAGACATGACTGAAGAGTTATTTCAGCTCGAAGACCAGTCGTCACCAGTAGGCTAGCCGTAGTATCGCTGTTGGCTACCAGTCAGCCATGACTAACCTTACCCCAATTTTTTCGAAGCTGAGTCAGAACCTCAGATTTCGCTAAGGTGCCGTCTCTAGGGGTTATTTGACCCCCTGAACACGAATATGATACCTATTTTGCGCGAAAAGCGCTGTGAGTCGCGCTACATGTGCCAACGCTTGGCGCCAGCGCGCCCGGAAGAAGAAAAACAGTAAAGAAACCTCCATAACTCCGCTCAGAGAATCGTTCCGCAAATTTTGAAGACAGTTTTGAGTTCATCGTCTCAAGATGAGTACAGTGATGTGCATCTCATTGCATATGGCCTAGGCTGACCTGTTGACCTTCCCTGGTCAGTTTCATATCATTCATCACTTTTTCTTTCCTCAACTTCATTGTTTCCCGCTATTACTGCCTGAATGTTGACTATATAAACTGGTTACAGAAATCGTACAGGTAAAGCCCAGTACGACTTCTGTAACCAGTTTCAAGCTGACAACAAGCTTGACCCTACAGGTTTTTGCAGACATTTTGGTATTGTTCCCGATATGGTTCTCTATAATATCTGTCAAAGCTCATCGATTTTTGTAACGGACTGTTTGACATATAAGGCTCGAGGCCTGAACTTTCCATGATTTGTTGATCGAATTGAAGGAGTTGTAGGGATTCATTCACTCGTTTACCTTAAATGAAGCAAACTTGGTATTGCACACCTCTATTTTTATAGATTGCATTCCTTGTTTCTTTGTTTCCAGACTACCTGTTATCGTTCCAGTGTTTGAAATCGAAACCATCCGTCATGCAATGGCACACAGTGGGAACGGTGTGCCAGTTAGTCACGGTAGATGAGGCGGTGGGGGATCATCTGTCTCCATTTTATTATGTTGACTCCGGAATTCCGTCAAAAACTTCATTTTGCTTGTGCTAACTCGTCGGATTATTAGATCTCCTGTTACCTGTGCGGCCTAGCTCTTCATAGGGACTAATTCTCTAGCAGAAATCCATTAAATGAAATTCTGTGTCACGGGATTTGCTCACATCGCTTAAAAACGGTGAAATTTTGCAGGTTCTAAGAAGGTTGCGTCGGAATTCGATGAGCTGCCGAAAGAAGACGCAAAGAGACGTTTGGAAGTTTTAGCCAAGCGGATGGATGTAAACGAAGATGGATTTGTGGGTCAGTGAAGCATGCCGTACCCTATTTTATTGACGTTTTATGGGCTTCAAAAGGTCGTTCCAAATCCTGAAATAGGATTCTTTTGTATTTACTTTATCTTTTCATTTCATGCAAATTGCTTTTGTGAAAATTCGGCATTGCTGTCAGGACACGTCGTAGGTTGGGGACTCCCAAACGGAGATCTTATTTCCTAGTTGGAAGAAGGGGCGGGGGTTGTACATGGCCCACTGCGCGAAAAGACTCACGTTTCGCAGTTTTCCACCTTCATGGTGCTGTACGCCTCTTCCCCCGTGGAAAGAAAACTTTGTGAAAAAAAGAAAACTCGGAACTTTTCGGTAAATTCCAGGAAAAAAGTGGAAGAACGTTGGCGAAAATCTGGAGGGTGTTCGAAGGTAGCATGGGGAGGGCGAGGGTCATACCAACAGAGGAAGTTCGAGTGGGGGAGGTCGTATTTCGGAGAAAATTCTCCAGCAACGAGAAGTACCTTGGTTGCTGTAGTTGATGGGACCATGCGGCGGCGCGGCAAAGTATGCTCCATTGCGTTTCCCGAGGGCTCTAATCGTATACGATCTACAAAGCCTCATTCTACTGAGGGAGGGATCACTTCGCTGCGCTGCTGTTTGCTACCATCAAATACAGTACCGCAGTGGTGTTGAATGGCGCTGAAATGGTAATGCGACTGCAAGCCAGAAGTGACCATTGTAAAATGTCTGCTAATTGTTTCCTCATTCAATCCAAGCCCAATTTGCAACTTTTACTTATGACTAGATGCGCAGTTATCTTTCCCCATTTATCAAAGGCTGGTAATAATTATTAGCCAAAGATCTTTTTTTACTCATATTCGCTTCAACTTCTTCAGCCTATTTCTTGAGCGTTCAATCACTTAGCACATGAGAACGGCAAACGGGCAGTTATTAGATGTTGGTAGTTGTTGAAGCGGTATGCAATGGAATGTGTGTTGTGGTGTGATTTTACACTATCGTTGTCGGGTATTGATTGCTTTTTTGTACCGATTACTGTTATGAAACCTTCCAACCATCGCATTACTGCTCGCATAACACTGTGAGAGTTTATATGTGTGAGTGTAATAGCTTTTAGAGTGATAAATCTGATGATACTTCTTTATGACTTATTTTTCTGCCTTTAAAGCGATGAGCGCTTGATACGAATCAAAAAGTTTCCTTTATCCAAACACTAGTTGACGCTCTTCTGATGATCTCATCTCCTTTTCGAGGAAGTACAGGTTATACCTTCTCATTGTGTGTTTGCCTCTGAGAAGCCTTTGTATGCTGCATCTGTATGGGAATTCGTCCATTCCTGTTGACCGTACATTTGTCTCGGTTTTTTCTACGTTCGGACCATGATTCGGAGTATTTCAAAGCATCCCATGTTGGGTTATTGTTCTAAGCAATCAAAGTGTTTGTTTTAAGATGAGACGGAGTTAACAGATTGGGTGGAAAGGTCGATGAAGTCGCTGGACAACGAGGAGGTCACTGAACGCCTTGGCGAGATGGATACAAACGGAGACAAACTGGTACGTAATTGTTGTACTGAATTATCCATCATCCAGCGTTAAGTTTAGAGACAGAGATGGCGCAGCGCAAGTGGAACGCCTACCACGCGCTAGTCCAGGGATTAATGCCGTGCCTCGTCTTCTCCTGAGATTGTAAATTGTTAAGCTGCGTTCATCAGCGTCCACGAGCGTTTCGAGCGTACCCCAGGGCCGGCGACTAGGAAGGCATAGATACCGATGCAGCTCTCCAGTATTCCTCAGCGTCCGTCAGCATCCAGCAGTATTCTTCAGCGACTAGGAAAGTGTAGATACCGATCTAGCGAACGCCAGCGTACGGCGGCGTTTTCGCGGGCACTTCAGAACTTGAGTAAAATTGTCCGCAAAAAATGCTGCTTCGCGCTGGTACACTGTTGTTTGCTAGGTCGAAATCCATACGTTCCCAGTCGCTGGGAAGCTGGTAGGCGCTGGCGGACGCTGGTAGAAGCTGGCGGACGTTGATATCTATACTTTCATGGTCGCTGTCAGTGGGGTACGTTTGAAACGCTAGATAGATGTAGATCTATACTTTCATAGCCTTACCCGATTCGCTGGGAGGCTAAGAACACTGACGTGTATCATCGGTTGGCATTCGTAAACCATTGTATAGGCCACATCGCATTTAATGAGATACTTTGATCGGAATGGAAGTAGAGTGCGTGCCGCTTCCCAGAAAAGGGATTGATCAACGGCGAGAACTTTGTCCTTTCATCTTTCAACAGTAAGCGAACGGAACGTTTCATACTGTGCCTTGGCGCAATAGTCAGTTCTTCGGGTTCTCTCGTCATACCCAACCGTTTATTGCTCAGTTTCCCCTTAGTTTTGCAGAACTAGCCTTTTATGATTTGAATGTGCGGCTGTAAACCATAGAATACCAGTTCTCAGAAATTGATACGTAAGCTATCATGGACACAAAAGTTCCTCTTCACCCGAAATCGGGTACTTGACAAGAAGGCGAGGTAATTGGCTCTTCCCATTTTCCGCAGCAGCTCAGCTATCCCTTCTTAATCTGTGTCTTTATCGAGTAGCTTTGAAAATATACGTGTAGGGAACATAGTGAGGATGTGGGCAATACCTTGTAAGTACGACCCATTTCTGCGAAACAAAGAGGGCCCGCTCAGTCGTCGAACTGCGGCGCCACCGTCTCATATGGCACTTGGCGCGCCCAAAACACCGACAATAAAAACAGAAGAACATAAGAAAAGCCAAAAATCGTACCGATCTCTAGCGAATTCCTCTCATGGATTTCACAGCCTTGATGTGTATTGGTAACACCTCCAGCCGCTGGTTTTCGGGAAATGCGACCCCCCCCCCCTAAATCCCTGCTCTGCTACGACCTCCCCCTCTTTCGCATCGCCTACTACATTCCTAGATTTTTCCAACGTCTTACCAGTTTTTCCGGAAACTTTCTAGTTTTCCTCCAAATTTCGCTGTCGCAGAGGGATATCGCGTTTGATCTGGGAAAATTTTTCTTGCCAGCTGATTTTTCTTGTTTCACGGACGCTATAGAGGCTGGGTCTGGATTACCTTTGAGAGAAATCCCCTCCTACCTCCCTAAGATGGTGGCACCGCCGGGGAAGGGGGTAAGCTCGTCAGCAATCATTTTCAACTATCAGAAGACGCTGCCATCTAGGGGGAAGGTACTTCTTTCGAAGGCAGTTAAGACCCACACCATATAGCGTCCGTGAAATAAGAAAAATCAGCCAACAAGAAAAATTTTTTCGAACCAAATGCGACCCCCTCCCCTCAGCGACCATAGACCCCCTCTGCTGGGGATTCCTCACGTACGACTTGGTTTGAGTGATAGATGCGACATCCACAACACAACTGTGGAGCATTGGTGAGACCTTCTCATTCGCACGAAGTGGATGTGAATTCGAATCGACTTGTAATGCAGTCGTCATTCACTTAGCGCGAATGGGAATACTATTGAGCAGTTACGAAATACAAAGCTGTAAAGGCTTTCACACATTCACCACATTGCAGGTCTCTTGGGATGAGTACATGGGGGACTCGTTTCCTGACCAAGATGTTAAGAATCTTGATGCTGATGACAGAAAATTGATGGAGGAGGACAAGTTGTATTTCAAAGGTTATTGATTTTCTTTCACAGAACACACTGATATTGTGCTGGCCGCGCTTATCGGCGTTTCTTATCATGCTTTGTCTGTCTATTGCCTTTCATTTACACTCTCGACAACCATATTTTGTTCAGCTGCTGATGTGGATGGAGACGGGAAGTTGAACAAGGACGAATTAAGTGCCTTTCTGAATCCAGAAAATTATAAACATATGCACAAAATTTTAGTTGAGGTACGTTGCAAGTTTGTTATGTCCAGTTGAGATCAAATATTCGCGTTCACAACTACTGCAGTTCGGTTTTCCACCTTTTTGACCTTCGTTTTATACGTTTTGAATGCTCGAAGGCAAAACCCGCGATCATTTATCATCACAGATGGTGGATTAGGGGTTTGCATATAAACGACAGAGTTCTCAGAATTTCGATAGGCAGAAAAAACATGCCAACTGCTCTTAATAGAACCATTCCGATCCCAGTTTGTACGTTCCCAATGAACACAATCCCCTCATCCGCACAGCTGATTCCCTATACTACCGTACAAATGACATTTCCATGCTTTTTCGTCCTGCAGCTTCATTTGCCACTGAAAGGCATGCCTTGAAGGCCTGGAGTCGGAGAAAAAAAGAGGCGTTGCTGGACCTGTATTGCGCTATCGCGCCCCTCTCTTAGAATTTTTTGCGCGAAACCGGTACAAGGTTGTTCGTCGCGGACCACACTACCCTCTCGACGCCATATTTCAACTTCTGTACCTGATCGCGGACCGTGCCTTTAAAGGCAGAATTTGCGAGTGCCAGCGAGTATTTTGTCGGTACCAGGGTCAAAAGTAGAAGTGTGCCTGCCAGTTGACTAACAGTGAATAAAAAAGCAAAGGAAGCAGTCGAAACGCATGAAATCGGGCTTCCCTATACTAAGCAAGCGACTAAACACCGATGTGCTTCTCGGCGAGGGGCTAGATAAGAGCGGCGAGAGAGCACGCAGTCGCGCAACGGCTGATAAGGAGCCTATCAGTGTGGGCGGAGTCACTGACTTTTTGGAGGAGTCACTTTCACTACTTTGTGCCTTACCGCCGCCACCTTATGTACATCTTTCTGACGCGAAACTTGTACAGGGTTTTTCGATACGGTTTCCTCTATCTTTCCTTTCAGAGAGCTGAAATACTTATAGATGTTCGTGAGCCTTGCCTTTAAACAGTGCCGAATTCTAATCACATGGAGGCAGATGTCCAAATTTTCGGGTGGTTTCAAAATCTGATAGTGAAATCAGGGCAGGTCGTACGTTGGGGAGTCCCCAGCGGAGGGGGGGGGGTAGTATTTGTTCGCTGAAGGGACGAGGTTCGTATTTGGTCTGACGAGAAATTCGTTTGATAGTTCTTTTTCTGCTTTAGGGACGCCATTCACATCGTTGGGAGACTCCTAAGGGGGGGGGGGATGCAGTTGCATGTTGTCTGGAGAGGGGGCTCATATTAGCCTTTGAAAGGGGGAGGGTGATATTTAGAGACGTTTCGATAATACGATAAAAGAAAAGTGGTGGAATCTTGGAACAGTTGGCAAGTGGAAGACAGTATCTGGTATGGAAAGGTGGGGGGGGGGGCGGTCGTAGCATAGGGATGAAATTTCGGGGAAGGGGTCGTATATTCTGAAAACTTTCCTTTGCGGTAGGAGGTGCCCTGTTTGAAATGTGAAATAGTCAGCATTCACGTGCATTCTTCGCCGTTATGGAAGGCAGCTGCGAGGTGGCAAAATCTTCGAAAGTAGCAGTTTATTATTGCAGGTTACAATGAAGGAGAAGGACACAAACAAGGACGGAGCGATTGACTTGAAAGAATTCCTAGGTGAAATGGCTGATAATCAACACAGCGATTGGCATACTGTAGAGAAAGACAGGTAGGTTTTACACAGTTGTTTTGAACTTCCTGACATTGATTGGAAGGCGGAACCGAATCAGAGTAAACATAAATGACGTGCAGTCGCCTATTCGCCGTTGTATTGATGTGCTGAACTAAAATTCGTTCTCATTTTCTATTGATATTTATGGCGAAATACTTTCCGATCGACAAGAGGCAGTTGTCTTCTCGCTGATCATACATCGGACATTTTTCTGCATTGCTTTTGTCATCATATTTCATCAGACCTTCCTGGTTCCTTGGTGGTTGTGATAACTTTCCCATTCTCGTCTGATTTTTAATTCTTTATTTAGTTATCTCTAGAGATTGTTCGGAGTACTTAGAGAGAATGGGGTCGTCATGACGACTTTCTTTTCCTTCGTATCCGCTCGCGGTTATCCGCCTTGCTATGCCCTCCTTCCCGATTTCACTTTTCGACGCCCAGCGCAGGCGCCCACATCTCACGCTGGAACCATGATATTCATCAACTTCTTGCTCTTATATGCATCTATCAGTTTCGAATTAATTATTATACTGCATGGTGTTATTACAATATCAAGCAAAAATAGATCTTTGTTCATATATTACAGCATCTTTCCACTCGCTCACTCTTTTTTCGTTTCTGAAATGGACGCAGATTTGACACTACGTTGAAACCTGTTTCGAGAACATTCCTTATGCCAAAGGAAAAGACGACGTCAAGAATTCAAGAGGTCCGATAAAAGGTATTGATTTCAGGTTCTTGGCAGAGTATGACTCCGATGGTGACGGTGTGTTGCGCGGCGATGAGGTGCGTCGTTGGTTGATTCCAGACGTGAAGACGGTCGCAAAACAGGAAGCGACTCATCTTCTCAGCGGTGCCGATAAAGACAAGGCAGGTTTCTTCTTTGTAAAAGTGGTCATTAAATGTCGAATAATAAACTTTCTAAAATCACCTGGTAGTCATTATCCTTTCAGCGCAGTTCGGCGACGTTGGGGGGGGGGCATTTTGCACTTTCGCTTCACTAGTTCCGGTTTACAAGTCTCACTCTGGTGAAACCTGTGAACTCTTGTGAAGCTGGAGCAAGACTCGTCGAGCCACACCTGTCAACTATTGTAAGCTCACGAAGCGGCTCCAGGGCACAACGTTGTTGGGCGCTCCCCAACAGAGAGGAATTTATATTTGGGCTGGGCCAATTTTTTTTTGACAGTTGGTTTGTTCCAGAGACGTAGTAAAGGGAAGAGTCGTATCTCCCTTCTGACCTTCTGAAGGATGTTGCTGACTTTTCATGGTTTCTCCTGTTTCATGTGTACTATATACCCCTCCCTGCCCACCCCCTCCAGCCCGATGATGGAGAGAACCAGCGAGGGGTCGTACCCCACCCCCCAAAAAGCGTGGTGGGGATCATACAGACTCTAACAAAATCTCCAAATAATCATGCGTCCTGAGTGGCTCTCTAGAATGGTCGAGACGGAGAGGCGGTCGTTTAGCACGATCACCTTGCAAATTTCGTGGTGGGACGAGTAAGGCCTACCGTGCGTGGTCCTGTTGCGAAACGAAGAAACGCAGACAGGTAGAGGACACCGCCTTCCCCCGAATCCAAACGTTTAGGGAACAAGGCGAGGCAGAGAACGAGCTTGTTCAGGGGGGTGCAGGGCTCCGGTTGAAAACTACTTATAATCCGTGAAAAGCTGGAATGTGCGAAGTCGTAACAGCCACAGGGTGCCATGCGGAAAAGGAAGTGCAGATAAATACAGAATATCGCCGCGTTCAAAAGAATTGGGTTCAGGTGTCCGTAGACCGGCCTACCGTGTCCACCAAGTGGTGAACTCGTCCGAATCACTTTTCGACATTTTCGACAAGGTTTCCTACGTTGCCACATGAGTGTTGGCTGCAGTGGTCGTGTTTTTCAAGTAGGACATCCACAGCGCCTAAGGAAATGTACTGATCGGAAATTTCGGACGAGTTACTCTTCCTACCTGAAAGAATCCACTGAAATGTTTCGACACGTCGGTGGATCGCGCCAAACAACACACACCTGCGACGGGAAATAGCAATCCAAAATGCCCCCCCTCGTAGCTGAACTGTCCTATCTTTTTTATGCCTCGGCGAACTCCATCAGACTACAGTTCGTTTTCAGGATGGTAAGCTGTCGATGGCAGAGATCGTTGACGCTTATGAGCTGTTCGTTGGCTCGGAAGCAACCAACTATGGTGAAGAACTGCACAAAATTCCGCATACAGAGCTCTGAGCTCAATTTCTTTGCTTTTCCGGCTTTCCATTTTAATTCGTAAACAGCCGCCTATGTACTTCTCATTTAGCTATTAGTAGTAATTAGTAATTGTCAAAGCGTATATACTGCAAACGAAAAGCGAAAATCGGCTTAATGATCTCCTTCCGTAGTTCTACAGCGACTGGATTCGACATTTCATGTTGCTGCTATGACTCAATTGCTATGCTATCACACCATCCTAGCTACCCGTTCTCGCCTTTCGTGCCAAGTATCGCACCCGTATAGGACCTGGGCGATTTTTGTCCCATTTAGGTCTACGGTCTAATCACATTCTAGCATGATCTTCTCAGTCATCTTTCTCCAAAGCTCCTCCCTGATCTTTATATTCGGCCTTATTGCCTTGTACTTCTCAACTCATCCATGGATCTTCCAGCCACCATGAGGCTCTCGATGCCATTCATCAGATTTTCATTTATTTGATCTTTATGGTACGGTATTTCAGAAGTAGTGGTTTGTGGTGCTTCTTCCTTCCACTATTTGGTCAGATAATGTTCTCGTCAATGTTGCTCTCTGTCTTGCTCGGTTATGATGCCAATGATCGTCTCGTCATTACGCTTTTCATGCTTTATCTAATACAGATTGTTTATCACTCATTTGGGTCTAGTTGGTTTCTAGTAATAAATAAATTTTTATTTATCAATGCTGCTCATAATAGACAGAAGTAGATTCTATACAATCGCATTCGTTTTCTAGAACTCTTCCCGGAAGCGAGCACCTCCCATCTTGCGCGAAACGCCCCGCATTTATATCACATACAGGAGATCCCATTGCATGCCCGGCCCCAGATAACCACGCCCCTTCTTGCTGGAAACATCATTTGCACTTATATTACGCTCATTACACACTGTTTACTGCATTTATTCTAGTTTTCCACACTTCATCACCATCTTGAATCCACGTTTATCTAATAGCACGCTTGACTCCGCCCATGAGACTCCGCCCACTTATTGATGGATTTATCAAGAATTTCGTTACTTTATAACTTTAATCTCCTGACATCCGTTTTCAGTGATCTTTTCATAGACATAATGTACACATACATAACATTCAACTTTTTAGTACCCACATTGTGCCCCACTACACTATGCCACCAGTGAATTGTATACAAGTGCCTTCACCAGTTTGCTGCCGCGATTGTGAAATTCAGCGCTGTGCTGCATGTCTATCAATAACACTTGATAAGCTACTGATATGACTGTGTCGCTACTGCACTGCATTCCATTGAATACCCATTCGCAGTGGGCGTCCCTGGTTTTCTTTTATGACTCTCATTGCCATGGTCATGGGGCGTTGCTGTCAGTCAGCTGTCTAACTAGTGTTTAGAGATGCATTCCGCAGTCGCAAGTCATAGCTGTTGGGGTACAAGCATGAAAGTTAGATGCTCATTGACCTACCTGTAAAGAAATGAGCAAAAGGAACCGAGAATGCCTTAGACAGGG